TATATATACGTATATCAGTGCCTGTTTATATATATATATATATATATGGTTGTGTGTGTGATTGGAGTGGGCTCGTGTGCGTGGGGATGGTAGTGGGTTGTTTGTGTATCTAGCTGTATAGCGTTTGCTGACGATGACGTTTTATGCTAGTTCAGAGCAACTTGCATAAAACTTTGTTCGGTTGTTTTATAACTTTGTGTACACGTTTCAGTTTGAATAGCCCAGACTCATTTGTGTGCAATGATTCACATTTCACTGTGGAATGTTTTGCTCCAATTGTTCGAATACTTCGATTTCAATTTATTGCAAAGATCATGCATGTGATTATATCTCGCATACTGTACGTAACATTTATCTACAAGCCTTATTGATATTGATGGCCTTGCACATTGATCAATATATTAATATGTATTACGATATGGAATTTCTGATCTTTTCTGGTGTTTAGAAGCATATTGTTATATACATCGACATCCGAAACACAAATCGTCCTTCAGTTCCGTGTATTGTAATTCACCTGGACACAGCGGGTCTTATATATATATGAACACAACTTTCATACTATTCGCTAGCTTATCAGATACATTGTATGTGATGGCACTATTTGTGGAGAACTGGGTTTTATGCACGATTCCATCTCCTTGCCAGAACAGTTGTGCTAGATTTCCATTGTTTTGTACTCTGTAGTTACTAAACCTATCTGATATTTGAGTTTGTTTGCGGCGCTGCGCGAAAAGAACCGCTGAACATGCGCTACACCCGAATTGGAATTCTACTCCTGATACTCATTCGCATTCAATGACGACAACCCTTTTTTCTACAATCGACAACAAACTATAGGTAGTAATGTAGAGGAGTTGACATACAAAAATCTCAAATTTATTATGTGGGATGTTGGCGGACAAGATAGTTTGCGGAAAACCTGGGAAACCTACTACACAGATACGAAAGTAATTATCCTCGTGATCGACAGCACAGATCGCGAGAGGCTGGGACTATCAAAGGTGCGAATTATTTTACATGCTTTGCGTCAGTATGAAATGTTTGACCTTTATTTTACACTTGAATGGAACTGAGTGAGTTAAATTTTTGGTACATAGCATGTGTAGAGTGTTAGTATGTCAATATCTTGTGTTGATATATAGCCGGATAAAGTTTAACTCGGATGTCGAACTATGGAAAGGTGCGATGGCTTGTCATTGTTTAATTTTCTTGTCGTCGATATCATTTGTGTGAAAATGACGTTAAGATTAGCGCGATCTCTGAATGCGACTGGGTGGTTAGTTGAACACATGGCATTTGTTGCTGGAAGTTTCGATACAATACTATTGTGTTTTGAAATGAATCATACGATCCAAATTCCACGTCTACAGGAGGAGCTAAATCGTATGCTAAATCACAGCGACCTAAAAGGCAGCAGTCTGTTGGTGCTCGCAAACAAACAAGACTTGGAAGGAGCACTCACAGCAGCAGAAATCAGTCAATATCTAAACTTGTCTTCGATCAAAGACCATGGCTGGAAAATACAATCATGTGTAGGTACCACTGGGGAGGGGTTATGGGCTGGCTTAGATTACGTTGTTAACGAAGTTCGAAATAAGGAATCTGAATCGTAGATAAAATTGCCTCCAAAAAACATTATTGACTGAGCGATAGGGCAGGTTGCACGCGCATATGGCCTCTTACCTTGACAATGAGAAATAGGATTGAATAGGTCGACTACTCTTTTGAACTATTTTAGTTATACTATCACACACGTATATTCAAAGTTACAATTTACACTTATGTATATATATAA